CCATTTAAACCAAGTGAATTTCTTTAGAAACCTGCATGTTATTTGTAGAGAAGAAAGGTATCCATAAGGATATTTCTGATCCCCCTCAGGCCATTCAGTTTTGAAGCTTGCGGCTGCTCTGCCTTAGGAAGCAGCCTTAATCACCCTCAAACCTGGCTGAGCTGATAAGGGGCGCCCACTCTAACTCTGCATCTCCCCTGCAGCCCCCATGTTCTATTCTGTGCTGGACTGAGAACTCACAGAACAGAGCAATGCAGGCTGCTCATCTAGACACCCTTCCCTGGCACAGAATGCGTGCCTTATAAACCTTTCAAGAATGAATTCTTGCCACTCTTCTGTAGGGTATGTTTGTGTAACAACTGCCAGTCCCCTGACCTGTATAAATGTGTCAAACCAGGGCCCTCCAACCTTACAACCTTTTTTCCACAGACCCGTTGCATGTGGCTGCACTTTAGCTAAGTGTCACCTCAAAGAGCCAGGTCATTCTGACTTGATCTTTATATTTTTTATATTTTAGTTGTGTAAGTATTTAGTTCTCCCTGGTACCACTTTCCCAAACATTTCTAAAACCTGACTACTTAAGGCCAATGAAAGGGCTAATCTATTTTATGTTGACTCCACAAGCACTGGTTTCTTTTTTTTTTTTTATAAGATTTATTTATTTATGCATACAAGAGCTGGGGTATGGGCCAGAGGTGCAGGGGGTGAGAGGATTCACCAGAGACAGAGCGGGGTACAGAACAGGCAGATTGACTGAAATACACTGCTGAGGGGAGCAGCAGGTGAGTCAAGAGAGGTCTGCCGCGCCATGTGGGTAGCTCCCTGGCCGGGGATCAAACTCGTGTTGCAGAGGCTGCAGACAGCTTCATAGGTTGTGTCTTAACCCCTTGCACCACCAAGGAGGTCTGGTTTCTTGATCTAGTATCTAAATTGGGAGGAAGATGGGGAAGAGGGTGTCCCCCCAAGGCCTTCTGTCTTCTGCCTAACGAGAGGCTGTGACTGCTCTCTGCTTTGGTGTGTCCTTGTCTCACCACACCACACAACTTTCTGTGTGTTTATTTACCAAATGCATATGCTCTCTGGTGAATTGTCTGTTCAAATCTCTTACTGATTTACAAAAATTTTTAAGTAACATACTTGGATGAACTCATAAGAACTTCTCTCCAAGGAGCTCATGGAGCTTAGGTTCCCCCACCCAAAAATAGACCTGGTGTCCTGGCAAGGATCCTAGATTATAATCATTGCCCTTGTCTCTCACTGGCTATGATATTTTGGATAATTTTTCGAACTTCTTAGGCTTCAAGTCTTCATTTCTAAAAACTGGAGCAGCTTAGGATATGTTTACAGTTCTCTATGACACTAAAAACTAGACCACACTATACACACCCAAGGAATAATTAGTGTCCCTGCAAAATGCCTCTAGTCCCACGCCCAGCCCCAGGGCCTGGTGGGAGGTTCTAAGAGCAAAGATCCCTAGGGAAAGGTAAAAATTGCTGGCAGATCACAGCTCACATTTAGAACAAAAGAAAGCTCAGGTCTCCCCAGACACATCTCATTTAGGCGGAGCATCTCTCCCAGAACCTTTGTAGAGACATGAGGGTCTCTTAGTTACCTCCCAGGGGGAAGCACATACGCATCCATTGTCCTACAGTCAAGTCAGTGGAAACCTTTGGCTTGAACTAAAAGCTCCAAATACATTAACTGGTGTATTAACTGTCCCTTTTAGAGGGCAGAATATGTCAAGAGTTGTCTAAAGAACTAATAGTGCAACCTGTGCTCTATTGTCCAGTGCTATTTTAGTCTTATAAACCATAAGTGCAATTAAAAAAAAAAATCAATGCTCTCAACAACTGAAAGTCAATCGAGTTACTTAAGCTCTCCCCTCATATTTGCAGCCATTGACTCCGGGAGTCTGGCTACAGCATTTGGGCTTTATGCAGACACCAAACTACTTAGCGAGCAGACAAAAATATAGGGCGCTCCAATCATCCAATCAAGAAACTATTAAAATGTGGGTCATAAATCTCTGGTTCTGTCACAGTTCACCAAGGACAAAGCCTGGCAACCTTCTGGCCTTGCAAAGAGGCAGGCCTGTGGAGTTGGGGGGGATGCCTAGGAGTCCTGTTTTCTCCCCATCTTGCTCTCAGTTGTCTCCTAGGATTATGGTGCCTAAATACCAAATACTTTTTGCTTTCTTACCAGGAAGGGGGTCTGTTTTCCCCCAATGATACCAGAGAGACTTTCACTAGTTTAGTCCCACAGCCTTAACCGTCAGGACTTTCCATCTCATTCTCTCTGTCTTTGGGCATGAGAAGACTCCTGAGGCGGTCCCTGTAGTCCTGCCCCTCCCTCCAGAGCTGTGCGTGTCAGAGAGCAGTGCCTCCCCCTGGTCTGAGCCCACAGAGGATCTGTGCTGCGCCCAGGGCATCCTTGGGTAACAGATTGGGCTGGGCGCTCCTCAGGCAGTAACTGGAGCAAGTTCCAGGCACCTCAGGCCCTATTCTGCCACCACAGATGCTCAGGGGTTAGACAGCTAGGGCACAGAATGCAGTCTTGACACCAAATGGGAAATTCTGCTGTAGACACCTCTCCAGCAGAGGCTCTCAAGGTGCGACACTCAGACCAGCAACATCTGTGCTTGTTAGAAATGCAAATTCTCGGGCTCCACCCCAGATTTACTGGGTCAAACTCTGGAGCTGAGACCTGCAATCTGTTTCACAGCTGCCCAGGACAAAGCTCTGGGTGACAGAAACAGACCTTTGTGCTTACAAAGTAAGCACACAAAATAAATGTTATGCAGATGAAGGCTGTTGTCATAAATAAACAAACTTGAAGATAAAATCAGAGCAAAAAGGCACAGAGGACTGGGAAAATCTGAGTGGGATGACCAAGAGCAGGAGCTGTCACAGTAGGCTTGCAAAACTAGGGTGAAGGAGGGGAGCATTGGCAGGGTGTAGTTTGAAGAACAGAAGAAATTAGATGCGGGGTCTGCATGGATCAGAACTAGCTGGGGGGAGGCCTTAAGATCATATCTGGTAAGGGCCTCCCTGGTGGTGCAAGTGGTTAAGATGCAACCTGTAAAGCTGTCCTCTGCCTCTGCAGCACGAGTTTGATCCCCCGGCCTGCCAGGGAGCAACCCATGTGGCACAGCAGACCTCTCCTATCTCGCTTGTTAATCCCCTCAGCAGTGTACTTCAGTCGATCTGCCTGTTCTGTTCCCCACTCTGTCTCTGGTGAATCCTCTCACCCCCCACATCTCTGTCCTGTACCCCAGCTCTTGTATGCATAAATAAATAAATCTTTTTTAAAAAAATATTATATCTGGTAAGACTCTGAGCTGCTGGATATCAACTTCAGTTTTTAAAACTCTGGTCTCCACGGTCCAACACTTTTAAGTCTTAAAGTTCCAGGTCTACCTGTTTGTCCTCCGTCTCCCCCAAATTATTGGCTGTGTCCAGTGGCTCCCCCATGTGCCTCACGATAGCAGCATAATCACCTCTGGAGACTTGGAGTAGGCAGCCCAGAGCTGACCATGGAACCACCCACCATCCTCCTCAGATCTTTCTTTCCTCACAGCTTCATAGCACTTAGGTCAGTTCCATTAAAGTCTGAATCTAGATACCTAAAACCTCAATTTTCACTCAGAACACTAATATTTATGGAAGAGATGGTTGATTGAATGATTATTTTTTTTTAAGAGGCATGTTTTATTTATTTATTTATTTATTTGTTTGTTTGTTTTGTTTATACATGCACTGGGTACAGTCAGAAGCGAGGGAGGGTAAGAGAATTCACCAGAGCCAGAGCGGGGAACAGAACAGGCAGAAGGACCAAAGTACACTGCTGAGGGGAGCAGCAGGTGGCAAGAGAGGTCTGCGTGCCATGTGGGACCCTCCTCTGGTGGCCGAGGAGCAGCCGGGGATCGAACCGGCGCCGCGGAGGCTGCGGGCAGCTTCGCAACCCAGCGCTCAACCGCTGTGCCACTGGGGAGGCCCTGAATGATTATTTTAAACAACAAGCACAAACATGAAGTCAATTGTACATCTGCTAATTTTTCACTGTAGTATGCCAGACCCTTGCAAAGAATCTAGCCCTTCCACAAGTGGTTTGATCCTTTTACAAAGTATCACAAAATCAAGAAAAGCTGGATTTGGGTCTTAATAAAACCAATTTTATAAACGCCTGAATTCCATTTGGAAGATAAGCTTAAAGAAAAATCATGTTAATAAAAGAGCCACTTTTTTAGTACTGAGAAGGTTCTGTGTGCATTAATTTTCACATCATTGCCAACTAATGTAACAATGTAACAATAGTGCTACTTTTAACCAACTTAACTTTTCAAAATCATTGAAAAGCATCTTTAAGTTTTAATTATTTTTTAAAACATTGTGCAGGCCAACCTGGCAATATGGGAAAATACTCTTCTTGGTGACAAAAGAGAGAAAAGAGGACAGAGGAAACTTCCAGGCACTACAGGCTGGGTATTTCCTCCTAGGGCTGCTGTAAGGGGAGACTGGGAAAAATTGGCAAAAGTCTGTGGGTTTGGAATGTCTGTGCAAAGCATGCATGAAATATAGACAGATAGAAAAGAGGGAAAGAGTAGGGACACAGCAAAGATAGTTGTGGTTGGTACTGAGATATGAGTATACATGTGCTTTTGTAGAAATGTTACAGAGTGCTTTGCCGTTTTCCAAATACTTTCATACAGCATGAAGGAGCCCTAAGTGAGCTTTGACTATGTGTGAGATGGAGGTCTTCAAGGAAGGGTGGGAGAAAGTACCTCAGGCAGCTCACATTCTAATTATTAGTAGATTACGACATCTATAGCTGTCCTGTGGAATCCAAATGAAATGTTTGCTATGGTCAGTGTGATAATATGTTGTAGATAGATTTATAGGGGAGAAGTTAAAATTGGAAACTCAGTTTAATTTACCCTTGATAAAGAGGATAATTGGGGGAAGCAATCAAGAGCACAAAGTCCGGAATCATATTACCTGGGCCCAAGTTGTGTTGCATACTAGTTGTGTGGTCCTTGGGAAGTAATCTTGCTCCTTGTGCTCAGTTTCTTCATCTTCGAAATGGAAATAGTAAGGGTACCTACCTCAGAGGACAAATGTGAGGAGTAAATGATTTATAAATATATGTAAGGAACTTGAAGAGATCCTGGCACAAAGTAAGCACACCATGTATTTCCTATTAATATTTTTAGTATATTTCAATTTGGAGGTATTGTTCATTATTAGTTGATGGGGCAGCATCGTGGCAAGAAAATGGAGATAGGAAGGGGGTAGATTTGCAAAGTAATTTGTTCAACTCAGTGCCCTAAAAAAAATACACTGCCATATCAAGAGATCCTAGGGCATCGTTCCTTGGTGAGTCAGAAGTTGGTGAATGGAAATTAGATTTTGTTAGAGATCGTAATAAAGCACATACAAATGTCGAACTCTAATGCTGAATACCTGCAGCCTATATATTGTTATAAAACAATGTTACTTCAATAAAAATCACAAAAATAACAAATTTAAGTAAAGATACTGGTCTTCACTGGCACCAATCACAAGTTACATTTTCCCCATGGTCTAATAACCCAGGGACCAGTGCATGAATGTCACTCTCCAAGCCAAACAAGCCAATTAGGAGCCATGTTAGTAAATTTTTAAAACAACAATAAAAAATCTGATGAGAGACTTAGAAATAGAACTTTTAACCTTGACAGCCATCCAGAGTAAGAGTCCCATGGCTGGGGGCCATCGCTCCATCAGTCTGACAAGTCATTCTAAAAAGTTCACCATTTCAGGTCTTTAAAAATGAATGCCTCTCAGATCATGCTCAGCGAAATAAGCCAAAAAGAAAAAGAAAAATACCGGATGGTCTCACTCATAGCAGGAATCTAGAAAACTTAAATAAGGGACCAGGAAAACGAATAAATATAAGAAAGTGAAAATCAAAATCAACAAAAAACTACGAACCAGAGACACTTTTAAGGGGGCGGGGGTGGGAGGGGAGAGATTGGGGTCAGAATGGGGGGGCTGCAATTGTATGGGGAATATAAAAATAAAATTTATTATTAAAAAAAAAAAATGAATGCCTCTCAGCCAAAAGGCCCCAGTCGTATACAGAAGTCCAGCATCCTAACTTCCTTTGGCCCTGATGCCTCTTGTAAAAAAGTCATCCAAGGAAGTCACTTAACCTGTCAGTTCCCTTATCTTCAAAAAGGAGAAAGTATTCGGTGCCTTTGTTCCCACTTATCTCCCAAAGGAGTTTATGGTATCTGTGGAACTAAGAATCCTATCTAAAGTGTCCAAGAGACTAGTAAAATATGCCTGCTTACTTCACATTGGAGTCATTGATGTTTCAGGAATTCGAATAACTGGATAATGTGGAAGTGGGTGTTAGGTCCAGAGGTGTCTGTTGTGGTTCTGGGAATCTGGCAGTTTAAACCAGAGAGAAAATCGTGAGCATATCTTTTCAAAAGACACTTTCTCAAGCACTACTATTATCTTCTTTCTGTGCATGGACCTATATATGGCATATTATTGCTCGTGCGTATATTGAAATCATTCTTTCCCTTGTTCTTCCCATCATGCCCAAGTTGTACTGCCACTGAAAGCAATGCTGCCAGCCTCATTATAAACCAGGTCTTCCAAGTTTTGAAGCCACAGGGTATATTAGGAGGCACCCACCCACACCCTCTTTACCACTTCAATTGGAGGAGTGCTTAGCCAGAGTTAGAGGACTCAAAGCAACTGAAGAAAGTTGAAGGACTGGATCATCTTAGTGCTCTGCTTTTTGGCTTTATCTCTTCAGTTCCTTTTTGATCAAACTGTGCTCAGTGATTCTGATCAAGCATCAGAGTTCCTGAGACCTTGTTAAAATGTAGATGTCCATTCATAGTTTTGGATTCCGTAGAACCAGGAGCCTGTGAAAATTTGCCTGTTTCCTACAGATTCTCAGAAAATCCTGCTACTGCTGCTGCTACAGGGGGCCCCTTTGACATGTCAGGGCTGAAAAATACATTCTGTGGGTGAAAAACCCTACTGGCTTGTGGCTAATTAGAGTGACCAACTGTCCTACTTTTCTTGGGCTTGATGTTTTGCTTGGATGTAGGACTTTTCAGTGCTAACATCAGAATAGTCCTGCCTGAGCAAACCAGTATGGTTGATCACACTAAGAGCAGAAAAAAATGATAACAGCACTAATCTTCTGAAAGTTTGGATTAATTCATCAGACAAACTAGTTAGTTAAGGATTTGCTAATTTCCGAGAGATATTAGATAAATCAAGACAAATTAAAAAGAACAGCTCTTAAAAAAATAAAATAAAATAATAAAAATAAATAAATAAATAAAAAGAACAGCTCTTGTATGGAACCACAAGAGACCTTGATTAGCCACAAGCAATCCTAAGGGGGCAGGGGAAAATATTTCTAGATTTATATATCTTCTTTCTTTTTTTTTTAAGGATTTATTTATTTATGCATACAAGAACTGGGTGCAGGTCAGAGGTGGGGCAGGGTGAGAGGATTCACCAGAGACAGAGTGGGAAACAGAATAGGCAGATTGTGTGAAGTACATTGCTGAGGGGAGCAGCGGGGGAGTCAGGAGAGGTCTGCTGGGCTCCCCTGGTTGGGGAGCAAACCCGAGCTGCAGGGGCTGCAGATAGCTTCATATGTTGCGTCTTAACTCCTTGCGCCACTAGGGAGGCCCTATATAGCTTCTTACTTCTTTCTGACTCTGGGCTACAGTGCAAGGCTTCTTATTATTTCATTGACAAGAAGAAGACCGTTATCAATATATTCCCACCAGCAAAGAGGGTTTTGTTCAATTTGACATTCATTTTCTAAAAGCAATAGTTTATTTCTATTTTCAAACATGGAAATGTAGCCATAAATACAGCGTTGAAAAATACATTTTAAAAAAACAACAGTTCTAGTTATTTTCCTCAAAGAATTCCCAGGCTGAGTTCATCTTTTAGATATTCATTCATTTATTGACTAACATATTTTTATTGACTGTCTACGTATGCTAGGCATTGAAGGGTTACTTTGGTAAATAAGACTGACAGGGAACCTCCTGTAACTGAACAAATGGGCTTGCTACTCAGCATGCATAGACCAGATCATAACAAGGCTTGAGGAAAGAAAAATAAATAAATAAATAAGAATTATTGCAAATCAATTGCCAAAGGAATGGGGGATAAACTCGAATCTACCCCCCCCATTAAGAAAGGGAATAAGGTTTTGGAGAATGGGGATGAGAACAAAGGAGTTTAATTTTATTGGCTGAAAAGAGGTTTAGGGGCAAAGAAATATGAACTTGGCTATTGGCTAGTCACATGGCAGTTTATACGTGGAGGAGTATGAAGAGGCTTTTCTTCAAATAGCTGAAGTTTTGGGTTTCTGATGGTGGGCCCCTCACCTGTTTGTGTCTCCCAACTCCAACCAGTTATGGCGCTCAGTTCTAATTAGTTAGTAAGTCTCCCTGCTCTGTGTCTGTAAAAGTAAGTCTCAGAGAAGAGTTTAGATAGGTCTTGTGTGTGTGTGTGTGCGCGCGCGCACACGTGTGCATGAGTGCGCTTTCTTAGAGTCTGAGACCAATCTAAGCCTTTGGCCGTTTTAAAAAAAAAAAATTATTTTTATTTATTTATGCATGCAAGAGCTGGGGAGGGGGGGCGAGGTGAGAGGATCCACCAAAGAGAGTGGGGAGCAGAGCAGGTGGATCTACTGAAATACACTGCTGAGGGGAGCAGTAGGCGAGTCAGGAGAGGTCTGCTGTGCCATTTGGGTAGCTCCCTGGCCAGGGATTGAACTCATGCTGCAGTGGGTGGCAAAAGCTTGATAGTGCTGAGACTTAACCTCTTGTGCCACCAGGGAGCCCCCCTTTGGCATTGGTTACAGTGCCCTCACAGAGCAGCCCATCTAATGGGAAGACATTGAACTTTGCTGGACAAATGTGAAATGGAAATAATTCTCACCTTGAAGTGGAGTTAACGAGTTTAGTTGAGTTAGTTGAAAAGTAAGTTTCATTTTACTACATGTGACACATGCTCAGAATCTTCAGCAAAGTTCTGATTTATGAGGTCACATTTTCCAGGTTTTGCATGAGGAATTAAAAAAAACAGCTATGAAACTAGAAGACAGGAGACAGGCCTACTTGTTGTTTGGATACTAATTGTCTGACTTGAAGGAGTCATTAAAGTCTTTTGTTCCTCAGTTTCCTCACACTACATTGTAAAGATCAAAGGAGATATTATGAACCGCTTTCAATATATCAACAAACTGAGTTATTTGGAGGCAATACATTTTGAATACATATCACATGAATTCCAACACCACACATTCCTACTGCAACAAAATGTCAAATTGGGACAATTTCTATAACCAGTGAGTCTTTCGTAGAATCATTTCCAAACAAATAAAGAGCTGAGGTGAGTATAAGTTTTCACTTTGAAGGAAGGAGCTTCCATGATTTATGGAGAGAGATTTCCGAAGAAATATGGAAAATTCTTTGAAGATGCCAGAACATAAATTTGCACCACTCAAATTGAACTCAGATTTCTAACGCCAGAGATTCTAACGAATGCCTGTAACATTAGGTGGGAAAAGAAGGCATACGTTATTATTGCCTTTATTTTCATCTTAAAGAGGGGTTTTATTTTTTGTAAAGGTCAAAGCTATTTAATATTTTTAAAGGCTTTTTCCCCCCCATT